TCCCTTAGCACTCACCACCCCTCTACCCCTCCAAGCAAAAATCTCCCTGTTATGAGCTACCCCTCCTCTCACCTGCCAGGGGCTCTCTCCTTGTATAGTCATCTTCCCGTTGACAAGCCGTGGATCTACTTGGTCTGCTTGGTCTGTGCAACATTTCAAGATCTTGCCCTTCTTCTCCATCGGGTTCCATAGCTTCCCACAAGGGAATTTCACTGAAGGTCGGGGAGGCAGTGAGGCACTATTCCCCACACTGTCTGGCACTGTTCCCCACACTGCCCTCCCATCTTTGCCCACCTTCTGCCTGCAGGTCAGTTTACTGAATTGTTGGGTTAAAGGGATAAATGATGCTTAGGCAAATATATCAACCTACAAATCCCCTTGGGTTAGGCAGTCAACAAACAGTGCCACCTGATGGCAAGAGTCAGACCAAAGAGCATCACTACCTAGCTGAGTGTCCTCAGGTAGGTTGTTAAACTTCTCAGAATTCAGTATTCTCTAGGGATCTTGGGAGCAATCTCTGAGATACATAAGTAAGGCCTTATGCTCGAATGCTACCAACTCCTAACAGAGGTTATAAATTATGGAGAGGAGGAGATGGTCATTCTTGGAGAGCCCCAAAGTTGCTCTGAGCAAGGTTGTGAGGTCCTCTGTCGAGAGGAGCAAGCACCTGACAGAGAACTGAGGACTGGAAGGTCTGCCAGGGTTTGCTTGGGATGGGCTATTCATCTAGGCTGAGATTTAGATGTATGGTAAGGCAATGGGTAACCATCAGCAGGGGAATTGAATGGTGACATTGAATGGAGATGAGACAAGCAACTAAATTCCAGAAGCTGCACAGCAGATGGCCTAAAAAAAAAACTTCGGTCAGTAATAGGGGACACCAGATGCTTTCTACCACAGAACCCCTAGAAGGCTCAGTGCTTCCGAAAGGTGAAGTGCAGGTGAGACTGTAGGCAAGAATGTTGAGAGTTTATAAGACAAACTGCTAGCGCCCTAGACCTCTGTCCTGACCCCTCATCAGTGACTTGACTCTCCTCTCTCACTACTGCAGAAGACCCTAGGAGTATTCTCTGCAGAGGGTAAACCAGAGGCTGTGACCTGAGGACTCCAGGTTTTTTAAAGAGTGATGTACAAGGCTGACCAGGAGTCATGCAGACATCTGCAGAGTGGGCAGACACCAGTTGCCCTCCACACCCTGCTCTGAGGGGCAGGAAGCCAGTCTGGCATCGCTGGAGCATGAGCTGGGGTTCCTCTCGGAAACTGTGTAAAGTGACGACTTCAGGGCCTGGGCATTAGAAGTTCTGCTAGTGATCCTGGTCTACAGATGGTCTTGCAGAAAGGCCCACAGGCCACCAGGCACAGGCATTTCTTCGCAACTCCCTATGAATTCTAATTATTTCAAAATACAAAGTTAGAACTTTTTTTTTTTTCAGTAAGTGGGTTAGAATATAAAGTTGTAGAAAGTTCCCAGAAAGAAGAACAGAGTCAAAGAGATTGGAAAACAGAAGAGAGTAAAATAGATCAATCGAGAGGAAAGAGATCTGAATGATAAGAGGTCCAGAAACAGAGAAAGCAGAGGGAAGATTATCAAAGAAATAACTAAAGAATTGTTCCTAGAGGTAGAAGATATGAATTTCCACATCCAAAGGGTCCACCAAAGACACTATACAACGAATGAAAAAGGACACGCAGTGAGGAACAATCTGCTTAAATTCATTGTAAGAGCTGTAAAACTCTGACTTCTTTGTACATATATAAATTTGACAAAAATTAAAATGTATACAAAGGAAAACAGGGAGGAAGGCAGAATCATGGTTCTTGTCTCTCCTCAGAGAAGCCAGAAGAAAAGGGGGAAACGGGATGCTGGGCTGGACAAAGTGTCTTAAGAAAATAAAGCCATCCAAGATAGATGGAGGAAGATGCTGGAGGCCTGGCCCCTTAAAGTTTGGAAGATGAGGTACCTATGGGCTCATGCTCCAGGAGTTGTCCGCAAGGTGAGCGATGGCACCTGGAGGTATGCAGGCAGGCAAGTAAAAGAGCAGGCAGGAAGCCAGCAAAGGGCACCCTCCCTTTTCGTTAGCTGACTGCGCTACAGTCGCACCCGAATTGGGGAGGTCCGTCGCCCTCACTAGGACTCAACGCTGTTCCTCGCACACTCGCACACGCCCCGGAGCCGCCCTGTGTCCCACCGCTCCGTATGGTTCGGGGACTCACCGTTGGGCTCGCACTGCAGGTGGTCGTCCCCCAGCAGGTAGCCGGGCGCGCAGCTGCAGCGGCGCCCGCCTCCCTCCTCCAGGCAGTAGTGCGCGCAGCCGCCGTTGTCCACCGAGCAGTTGGAGAAGCGCACCTCTGGGCAGACGAGGACACGAGGAAGGCGCGGAGGGGACGCGGTAGCGCCGCGCGCCAGG